CTCCAATGCTTCTCCCTCTCCCCATTCTTTTTCCTGTGTGCCTAGTGCCTGAGGAAATTGGGACAGGCTGTCAGGTTCCCTGGAATGCCATGTAGGTGCTGGGAATTAAACCCAGATCCTCTGCAAGAGCAGTAAGTACTCCTAACCACTGAGCCATTGCTCTAGCCCTTGCTTTTTTTTTTTTTTTTTTTCTAATCAGCACTTCTTAATATCTCACAGTTCTTTGGCGCTTAATCATATGCTAGACCTTTCTTGGTGTGCTCCCCCTATGCTGTCTCCTATCATTAGGCCCCAATTCCATCAGCATCAATTTCCCTTGCTCCTTACTTATTACTCAGAAGCCATTTTCCTACAGGAAGCCCTTCCTACATCCCTCCATGTTTCTTCTTCCCTTCTTCTAAGTGTCCTCCTCAAACCCTATTCTTAATTTCTTTTGTTGTTGTTGTTGTTTTGTTTTTCAAGACAGGGTTTCTCTGTGTAGCTTTGGCTGTCCTGGACTCACATTGTAGACCAGACTGGTCTCAAACTCACAGAGATCCGCCTGCCTCTGCCTCCCCGAGTGCTGGGATCACAGGGGTGCACCACCGCACCCAGCTCCTATTCTTACTTTCATTGAAGGTTGTTAGACTGTTTTTTTTCCCAGACCCCCAGTAGGGTGTCCAGGTCCAGCCGATTACTGTGTCACAGCGGAGCACCTATGTGTCAGGCCCTGTGCTGAGGCACTGTAGGCTATTGCCACACTTACTCTATTCAGCAGACAGTGAAACAAATCTAGGAAGACCAGGCCCTTCTTTGGTCACCAGCTAGCAAGTGATGGAATTACAATTCTGGTCTAAGGCCTGGGTTAGAGCCGAACAACTAGTTCAGCCACTGTCTCTCACTTCATCCTGTCTCATACCTCCCATCTGGATCTTCCAGGCACTGTGCAGAGCCCTTACTTAGAGTGGACTCTAGGAAAGGCATCCCTGCCTTCTCTCTCACTGTCACTTCCTCCTTGGCATGAAATCACAGGTCATGAGTTCTGGTCTTGTCACTGTCAGTGGGGATTTCCAGACTCTGAGAGGGAGGGGATTTGGAAATGCATGTTGAGAGCCATGAGGAGAGGAATAGAGACGGAAGGTAGAAGGTGGGATTCTTAGACAGTCAATTGCATTTTCCAAAGATCCTACAAAAGGGGACAGAGAGAGTAAAGACACCAAGAAAACATCCCAGCACACATTATAGGTGTGCTGTGGCGCACACCTGTGATCCCAGCACTCAGGAAGCAGAGGCAGGCGGATCTCTGTAAATTCAAGGCCAGCCTGGTCTACAGAGTGAGTCCAGGGCAGCCAGGGCTACACAGAGAAACCCTGTTTTGAAAACAAAAACAAACAAAACGTCCCAAACAACCTTTAACTGGAAACATTAACTTACCCTAGGGAAGCCGTTTTAAAGAAGGGAAGGCTAAGTTTGGAAGTGTACAGCTGACAACTCAGCAGTTAGGACTCTAAGGCAGAAAGCATGTAACCTCAAGGTGAGCCTGGATTACACAGTACTGTCTCAAAACAACAACAAAGGGGCAGGATGGAGTGGGGAGAAAGGAAGTGAAGAGAAAAAATAGGAAGATGGGGAGTATGAGGGGAAGGAAGGGAAGGGAGAGGAGGGGGAGGGAGAAGCAGCAGCCTTTCAGGAACATCAAGAACTGTGTGTCCCAGGAAGAGCCTTGCCAGCAGCCTCCTTCCAAACCATCACGAAGGCATGGGGGTGGGAGGAGAGAACACAAGGACAAGGACAGACAAGACTATACAGCAATGGCACCTTGTTCTCTTACTCTGGTGAGACAGAACCCATGTATGGCCCAGACATGGCTGTTGGAAACATAAAAATAGCATGGATAACTGCACTATTTTGAAAGTATTTTTAGATAAGAAAGATCTTATCTAAAAACATTAAAGAAAACTGGCCACTGGGGTGGTATAGCTTGATGGCAGAGTGTGTGTTTACAGTGTATGGGGTCTTGGATTTAATTATCAGCACCAGAAATAAATACCTTATGGAATAAGGAGCAGAGAAAACAAACAAACAAACAAAGACCTGGGCTCTATTCCCAGAATCCACATGATGGCTTACAGCTGTCTGTAATGCCAATTCTAGGGACTCCAACACTATCCTCTGGCCTCATGTTACACTAGACTACATACAGGTAAACACCCACATAGATTTAAAAACAAACAAACAAACAAACAGCAAAATAACTCCTGCTGGTGTTGCAAACCAGCATGGTGGCGCTACCATTAATCTCAGCACTCAGGGAGGGAGGCAGAGACACGTGAGTCCAAGGCCAGTCTGGTGTACTGAGTTCCAGGACAGCCAGGGCTACAGAGAAACCTTGTCTGAAAAAAAAAAAACAAAAAAAAAAAACAACCAACCAACCAACCAAACAAACAAAAAACCCTGCTGCCCATGGCGGCACACTCCTTTAACCCCAGTACTCAGGAGGCAGAGACAAAAAGATCTGAGGCCAGCCTAATCTACATAGCAAGTTCTGGGGCAGCCAAAGCTACATACTGAGAAAAACTAATAAAGAAATAAAGTCCTACAAACACAATCCGTCACTTGTTGCTTGGGCTCCTTGACACAGTTTAAATAGCAAGGGTGTTTCTACATATCAGACCACAGAGAAAAGATACATATTTACAAGGCAGGCAGCTAGAACGGTTTCTGAGACAGAAACATCTGGCTTCTAGCAAAAATTCCTTACTTAAAAGTTGGAGCAAGGGGCCTGATAAAAGTTGGAGCAAGGGGCCTGATTGGTTATCTCTCTGAAGATGAACAGGCAGGCAGACAGGCAGTTCTGCCATCAGGAGGCAGTGTGAGGCCTCATAGGACTGTTCCTTTACTGGAAGCTGGGCTCTGGAAGCTGGTTGTTAGGTGTTAGCTAACCCTCCGCCATCTGCCTTTGACCCTATGTCTCCCCACTTGCTGGTGGGAACACATTGAGTATCTAGAAAGCAAAGATGAGCTGGGAGCAAACATGTCCGGGAGCAAACATGTCCCGGAACAAATCTCCAAAACTAAGCCAAAACTGGGGTTGCTAGAAGCCCGCGTGACAAGAAAGGAATACTTCGGCTCCCTCCTGAGGCCCTAGAAAAAGAGGATCTCTACATTAAGTCTGAAAAAATAAAAAGGTCACGAGGTGTAGTGGCTCACCCCTCTAATCCCAGAGTTTGGGAGGCAGAGGCAGCTTGGTCTACAGAGTGAGTTCAGGACAGCCAGGGCTACATAGAGAAACCCTGTCTTGAAAAACCAAAACCAGAAAAAAACAAAACAAAAAAGATACCATTCAGTTGTGGGGGGGGGGGGTGGGGAGGGAAGTGTGAGGGTAGGGGTGAGTGGGTGTAATGTAGCCTAGCGTAGGCTGGCCTTGAACTCCTGGTCCTCTGGTCTCTAACTCCCAACTCCTGAACTTACAGGTGTGGTTCTGGTGTCTGTCCGTGTCTTGATGCCAATCACAGGAAGGTCCTGAGCACTAACAGAGGAAAGAGGTCTTTTAGGGAATGCTGGGAGTGCAGGACAAACCTTGGCGACAGCCCTGTACCACACCAGCACTGCAGCAACGGTTTATTCTGCAATATTCAGCCCTCCTGCCCTAGACGGACAGTCTGTCTGGATGACAGAAGAGCAGCAGAGTTTTTTGTTTTGTTTTGTTTTTTAAGATTTTATTTATTTAAAGTATGAGTGCTCTATCTGCATATACACCCATATATGCCAGAAGAGGGCAGCAGATTCCAGTATAGATGGTTGAGAGCCACCATGTGGTTGCTGGGCATTGAACTCAGGACCTCTGGAAGAACAGCCAGCGCTCTTAACCACTGAGCCATCTCTCCAGCCCATTGTTTTGTTTTGTTTAGAAGCTATAAAGCTTCACAACAGAGAGCCCTGTCTTCCAGGAAGGGGGTTGTGTGGTGGTAAAAACCATAGGCAGTAAGTTCTGTATCCACGTGAGGAACTGCAGAAAACCAGAGCTCACAGTAGCTATGTTGGGATAGTCCTAGGGTCAAGCCCCTGCTGCCCTAATAGACAAGGACTTCTCAAGCTGGGCCAGGCCTCCCGGCATCCTTGGGATACAGAAGAGCAGCAAAGAAGCCAATCACAGGCTAGTCTGGGGAAGAGAACCAGGAAAGAAGTGGGCAGCCACTATTTCATGAAGAAGCAAGCAGGACCCTAGATGTGCTGCAGGCACAGAGCAGAAACAGTGCCCAGAGCCTCACAGAGAGGAACTAGACAGGTGAGTGGGCATCTGTGCAGGGTTCAAAGGAAAAATATTCTGCTGGCCTGGTGGCACAAGCCTGTAATCTCACCTACTTGGGAGAATGAGAAAGAAGAACACAAGGTCAAGGCCTGTCTGGGCTACAGAGTTGGTTGAGGGACATCCTCGGTACCTTAGGACACTCTGTCTCAAGCACACACACACACACACACACAAAAAAAAAAAAAAAAAGAGAAAAAAAATCTGATCTATAACTCAAGTGCTGTGTGCAAGCGCCCAAATAAAATCCTCAGTACTTCAAGACATTAAAAAAAAAAAAAAAAAGGTGTACGGTATTAGGAAAGATGTTAACTTATGCAAATGTCCAAGTAAAAATCTCCTTTTGAATGAGAAATGTGTGTTTGCCTTTGACATTGAGTTTTATGTTTCATGAGAACCAAGAGTACTGGAGACATCTGACAAAGATTCCTGACAGTGGCTCCTCTCCATTCTTCATGTACTCTGAATGACAAACCGCAAGAACCAAAAGGCAGAAAGCAAGGTCAGGAAGTAGGTTACCATGGCTGGCCGTGGCAAACGCAGCAGGGTGCATACTCCTCTCTGTGGGGTCTCCCTGTCATGCCATGATGGGCTTGAAGAGGACAATGGCCCCTTAGTCTATACCCTTTCTCAAGAGATGGACAGTTCACCCTAGAAGGTGCTAGAGCTTCCCATCCTGTACTCTCATGGCACATACGTACAAAGATGCCTCTTCATCAGTTATTAATTTTATTTAGGAGTCATAGGAACACTAACCAAACATCACCAAATCACTTATTTTCACATCACAAAGTTGTATTTTGCTGCAAATCCACACTGTGTAAGCAGGAGTCTGTTTGTCATCTTCCTTGAGATGCTCCACAGGGTCAGGGAGGGACCACACTGTTTCCTGTTGTTAAGATAAGGTCTCACTATGTAGGCTCAGGCAGCTGAAACTCAGTTAGTCCCAGTAGCCTCATGCTTGCAATCTTCCTGCCTTGGCCTCCTGAGTGCCAAGATTACGGTATACACCATGACACCTAATTGGTGACCATTTGTCAGAGCCCATAATGACAACATCTGAAAGGTAAAATTAGGCTTGGAACTTCTTCCCCTTCCGTCTTCAGCTTACAAACTTTTTTTTAAAAACCTTTATTTTTATTTTATATTGTTTTGTCTGCATGTATGTCTGTGCACCAATTGCATGCGGTACCCAAAGAGGCCAGAAGAGGGTGTCAGGATCCCCTGGAACTGGAGTGACAGATGGTTGTGAAACACAATTTAAGTGTGTTCGGATTTGAACCCCAATCCTCCAGAAGAGCAGATAGTGCTATCCCACCCACACCCCAAGACAGGGTTTCTCTGTGTAGCCCTGGCTGTCCTGGAACTCACTCTGTAGACCAGGCTGGCCTCTGAACTCAGAGATCTTCCAGCCTCTGACTCCTGAGGGCTGGTACTAAAGGTGTGCACCAGGACGCACGACTACCAGCCAGTGCCTTAACTGGTGAGCCTTCTCTCCAGTTTGGCTTATAAGCTGTTGACCACATGGCCAACGCTGTGGTGTAATACAAAGCAGAGGTGCTCTGGTCTCTTCACACAGGAAAACAAGGCCAGGCAGCTACTGTAGAGCAGCCAAGTGGCAAACTAGTGGATACCAGTCTATAGGGGAATCTTTTGTTTGTTTGGTTCTTGCCATGTCACTGGTCCATGTGTCCACGGACTGTTTCCTTAGTCCTAAATAGTGTTGACAAATCCCATGCAATAAAATGACCTAGCCTACAAGCAACAACCATTTTGTCTGTAGTACTGTGCCATGCAACACTGCATCTAACACGAGCTAGCAGCACAATCAGAAAGTGATGCAACGAGGGAAGTCATAAAGAGCTCCTTTTCTTCTTTTTCTTTTTCTTTCCTGAGACAGGGCCTGTCAAGCTAAGCCTTGAACTTGGTCTGTAGCTAAGGATGACATGCTCTTTCTGCCACCATCATCCATGTGCTGGGATTATAGACACACAGCAGACCCAGGTAAGAATCTAAACACAAAAGTTATCTTTTATTTTGCATGCTTTCTGGCCTGATGTAAACACTGTGGGGAAAGAACCATAAGGACTGCTCGGCATTCATGCTTGACATAGTAACTCTGCCACATAAACCTGAGGAGAGCTACTGACGATCTGGCCACCTTCAAGGTAGTTCTATAGAGGATTACAACCCAAATGGTGGCTTAAAAACAAAACAAAAAACCAGTACAAGTCTTTTAAGTTTGACAACTTTCTAGACTAGTGAAAAATGTGAGAAAGCAGGTAACTACACAAACCACATGTATTCCTGTCTAGAGGAAAAGCAAGGCCTGTGGTCCAATCAGGGGCTCTGCACCCACAATAATTCATTCATTTTTATTTTATGTGCATGAGTGTTTTGCCTGTGTTTATGTCTGTACTCCATTAATACAGTGCCCAAAGAGGCCAGGAAAGGGCCTAGACCCCCAGGAACTGGAGTTATAGATGGTTGTGAGCCACCATATGGATGCTGACCTTCTCACCAAACACCCCCACCTCCAACCCTGCCATATTTTTAAAGACAAGGTCTCATTATGTAGCCCTGGCTGGTATGGAATCTACTACATATAACAAGCTGGCCTTAAATGTACCGAGATCCACCCACCTCAACCTTCTGAGTTCTGAGATTGAAGGTATGTCACTACACCAATTGTCTGGGTGTTTATAGAGGTCAAGTAAATGAGGGTCGATGGAAACTTCAGCCTCAGCAATTCTGGTGTAAACTGAAAATCAATTCAATATATAAATACAAGGCTGAGAAAATGGCTCAGTGTGGAGAACTTGCCTAGTGTGTATAAGGTCTTAGGTTCAGTCCTCAGCATCTCAAGAAAATGGGTGCAAACCCTAAATTATCAAATATAAAATATTTACAGAGGTCAGAAGAGCTCTAGGAGCTCAGGAGATGGGTAAGAGACATTTGAAAATCAGAAATCCAGAAGTCTCTAAAACAAAATGCTCTGAAAAGTTGGAGAAGTAAAAGCAAGCAGCTTACAAAAATAGAAATAATTAAAATAGTAATTTCAGTCCAATAATTAAAATAGAGAAATCAGACCAGGCAGTGGTGTGCACACCTTCAATCCCAGCACTTGGGAGGCAGAGGGAGATGGATCTTGCTGAGTTTGAGGCCAGCCTGGTCTACACAATGAATTTAGGACAGCCAGGGATACACAGAGAAACCATGTCTTGAAAAAAAAACAAAAAAAACAAAACACCTAATGTTGTATCATAAATCATTTTAAGAATAAATTGATTATGACCAAGCATGGTGGCACACACGTGGGGCAGCTTCAGCTACACAGTTAGTTCAAGGATAGACCAAGCTACATGACACTGACACTTGTCACAAACCAAAACCAAAGCATAAACTGATTTTCTGAGGTCCCAAAGGCATATGATTGAAGTTAACTTATTTAGTTTAATGAACTGGCTTAAATTAGGCTCGGTATTTGTTTTAAAAACAAATGTTTAAATGCTGCTAAAATATAACTTCTTATACAATGCCATCAAATTTTGGCTTGTTTTTAACATCAAAAGCTAATAAATAATAGAAAACATTAATAAAATAAATACTAAGTGGAAACACTTAGTATCAGATAAGAACAGTGATGAGAATAAAAATATAAAGAAAATGACACACACCTTTTGGTAGAAAAGTCAGAAAAAAGAGGACATTAAATTTAAAGAACTGAGTAAGTTGTGGGCAAACAGCTAGGAACTTTGCTTAGGATGTAATTATGGGTACACATCGATCAGTCTTCTTGGACTAGACCCCTAGGAAGGCCCAGTGGGGGCCACACAAAATAAAAACACACTACCCAGTCAGGGACCTTGCAGGGCCCTGGACATACTGCCCACTTAACTTCACCGCTTCTGAGAGGCTTCTGAGTTCCAGCGGCAATGCTTGCGTGGGCGTCATGGTGCACAGCCTGGAAAAGTCCTGGGGGCCTTCCGGCTGGAGACCAAACTCAGGGCCCTGGAGTTAGTGCAACAGGAAGTGCTGAGCTGGGCCTAATGTCTATAAGCCCAGCACTTAGGAGGCTCAGGCAGATCATGATTTTTAAGGCCAACCTAGGCTACATAGCAATTTCCAGGCGAGCCTGGGCTGCATAGGGAGTTCCAGGCCAGTTAGGCTCCCTAGTAAGATCTTTTCACAAACAACAGTAACAAAAACCAAGATGGGGTTAAATGAACACCAAAGTTGGAGGTGTAGGCCTGGGCAGTGGGCTCAGAGGAGATGGGTGGCAAGGCTCACAACATTCTGTGGAGGAGAGCAGCAGCGCCTCCCAGGACCTCTCCCCTCTGAAGACCCAAGCCAACCCATCCTGGAAGCCAGCGTGGTGGGAGAACTGGTCCATTGTGCAGAGTCCATAGTTCTAGGCGGCGTTGCCAGGTGGCCCAAAGTTGCACGGGGCTCCTTCCAGCCCTGCCTCTTGTGCCACTGTGACCCTGCTGAGAGCTGACATGAATACATGGAACATGGAGCCTCCCACAGCAAAAGCGAGTATCAGCATGGAAAGAAGCACTGGTGTGACACATGCTGACTCTGAGGCACGCCAGACAGTCATGTGAGAACCAGGCACCTGTTTTTATCACCCAGACATCTATGGCCCCAGCACAGCCATTGGGCCACTGCTTCTTCTCTCTTCCTCTGTGTTACCTAGACCCTCAGGACCAGCTGAGGGAGGTCACAGGATGGGAGGGAGGGCAGGGGGCATGGAGTTTGCTATAGTTCTCAGAGGGAGTGCTTCCCTTGTCATCTACTGTGTACCAGGCCAGTACAGGCCTCGGGAAGCACAGACATCCAGAGACCTGAAAGCCATAATGGGAGAAGGGGTAGCACACAGAAAACACAGCACGTAGCCAGCCATAGTGACAGCAGAGGGATCAGGTCACATCGGTTTATCAGGTGCTGTGTGAGGAGGTCTAGGGAAGCAGAGGGCCTGAGGAGAAGGCGGAAGGCAGGACTGAGACAAGCATGCCATGCTAGGGTCGGGGTGACCCTGGGCCGCAGTCACTACAGTGACAAGGGAAGGAAACACAGAAGTCACCAAAACTACACGAGTTCAAGGAGGCAAAAGCCTCACTGAGTCCAGTCATCTCTGAGGAGAACCCTGGGAATGGAGCTGACTGCTCAAGCTGGTCAAAGAAAGTCTCTCCAGAGGCCACCTTCAGGTATGGACTTGCAGTGAGGTGCAGCAAGAGCTTCAGGCTCTGCAAAAACACAAAGACAAAAAAAAAAAAAAACAGCTCTCCAGCCCTCATCCCTTCTAGAATAAGGGGAGCTGCAGAGCTCCCCACAAATCCTGCCCCAATCCCCAATCCTATCCTGTAGCAGCAAATGTAGCCCAGGTGAACCTCAGAGGGTCAGAGGTCTGAGGAGCTGCAGAGTCAAAGCACCAGCAGGGGGCACCACAGAACCACATTTGGCAAGAAGATTCATTTGCCCTTTCCCTACAAGAGGCAGAAGCTCAGGGCGGGGAAATGTAGCCCTGGGAGGCAAACCTGCCCACTTCCTGGAGGTGGTGTCTCATTCATTCCCTGATCCCTGAAGAGGCAGCTGGGCCTCTGTCCCATCACCCCTCAATGTGGCTCAGTCACCATCAACGCAGGCCGGTCACTGGGTGTCAGGGTCTTGGAAGCCCCAAGCCTCCACAGCTGCGATGAGGAAGTTCTCAGAGCAGAGGGGCTGGTTGTTGAAAGTGTCGCAGTGTCCGGTGCGGCCTCGGTTCAGATCCCCATCAATGTACAGTGCTTGGCCACCTCCTCCCCCTGTGGGATGTGCAGGTGAACAGATGTCTTTCTGCTCCAACAACCACCCCATCCCTAGATACCCCATCACCCCTGTCCTTGAAGGCTCTGTTAAATAGCTATCTCAGTAAAGAGAGCCCTCAGACTTACAGGGGGTTTCTCCAAAACCATCTGGGCCTGGCTCCCTGGCTGATGCTTGCCTGCTAGCCCACGGCTCCCATCTTTCATGTCTGGTCTACCCCCAACAACCTATCTCCTTTCCCTTTGCTTAATTGAGGTGTCTATTCCCACCAGTCAACAAGGACTGGGCACAGGGCCTTCAGCTACCCACAATCCTCCATGGCCCCCTCCCAGTACAGGTAGGACCCAGACTGAAGTGAAGGGACCAAGTGCCCACCAATGATGAGGCAGTCATTGCCCCCAGCCATGAACATGGACTCAGTCTTGGAGGGCAGGTTGAAGTGCCGGGCGGCCAGAAAAGGTGAGAGCCGATCAGCAGGGTCGGAAGAGACAGAGTGGCTGAGGAGAGAAGGGCTGGCTGCAGACTCTGAGGACTTGAAGGATGTTGGCTTGGTCAACTCTGGGTGCTTGATGACCACCCACTCGTAACGCTGTACCTCCGGCTGCAGCTGGGGACGAATGGGTGACAGTCAGAGTCACTGGCATGTGGCACCTCACTGGGCCTTCATGCTCCAAGGCCACAGCCCATCTCCATCCCATGACTGCTCTGGGCCAGTCCCTGAGGGAGGGACTGTGGCAATGGCATATCATATTAGCAGATGAGGTCCTGCTAGCTCTTGGGATACTCACAGTCTAACCAGCAACACCCAGAAGTAACCAAGGGCATGTTTTAGGATGTTTGCTACAATGAGAATAAAACAAGGCTCCTGTGCAGGGTTGCCAGGCACATGGTGCGGTGACTTGTAAGCCCCTCCAGGCAGCCTCTGCAGCAGCCGGGGTCAGACAATACCCTGGCCCAGTAGACTGAAGTGCTCAAACGTCTGAAGAGATGGGAAGAGCTGAGGAAGGAGGGAGTGGCCAGAGGACTCCCACACCAGCCCAACTCACCCTAAAAACAAAGCATTCTCCAGTCCCGAAGAATCCCAGCTTGCCTCCAAACTTATTCCTCTCGCTCCAGTCTGTGGACAGGTAAGCCCCACAAACCTAGGGAGAAAGCTGGGTGAGGCTGTGCCTTCTGCCCTCAGGAGCGACCCCTGTTCAGCTATGCTGAGTGACCACGCCCCGGCTTAGGGTGCTGTATATTGAATCCTCCCACCACTGAAGGCAAAAAGGGTGTGGGAGAGGGCTGAGTTTAGGGAAGAGGACCCTCTGGGTCATTTTTGTCTTCCCCTGTGCCTCTCAAGCGTCAGAATAAGCTCCATGCAGGGACCACATCTACATTCGGGTCTTGGCACCAGCTCAGCAAACCAGGCTCCTCACCTCCTTTTGTGTGGTCTTGATGAGTAGGAGGGTGGGCTCGTGTCCTTCACACTGGAAATAGAACCTGGGGGCAGAGACCACATGTGACACCCTGCATGCCGTCCCTGGCACCTCCTGTTATCACTGCCAACCGTCAGTCCCAAGGTCTAGGATAGAGAGGCCTAAGGCCTATGCTCCTTTCCCACCACCTCTGTCTACAGTGGCTAAGAACCTTGCAGTGTCATTTTGGCCAGGCCAGGCTGCCCTGGCGTGACAAAGGTGAAGATTCACAGTGCATTCCCCCTCAGGCAAAGCTGAGTGCCGGAAGCTACAGGGAAGCAGGAACCAGAGAAACAGGAAAGCTCAGCCCTGGACATGTGAGGAAGGTAAGGCTTGCCACCATGGTGCTCAGGTCCCTGGGGGCTGGGAGAAGTGACTCTTAACCAAGCCAAAATGCTTGTGTGGTTGCAGGCAGGGCCTTGGGGTGGGGGTGGTCCACAGTTGGTAAACTATCATTGGAGACTTGAGTACTAATAAAACCTGAGCTAGCTTGGAGGGCGGTGTGCCCCCACTAGCATACCAGGGGCTTACACAGACAGAGCCCCACAGAGGGGTACCTGGTCAGGCTTGTGATGAACACAGTGGGTGAGGGTAGCAGGGAGGCCAGGGCCAGCTGTCCAAGTGACTGTCTCCTGACAGTTCTGAGCTCCCGAGATGGGAACTTCGGTATCTTTACGACGCCTACAGAGCTCTCAGCTGTGGTGCACACAGCAATGACTTCTAAAGTTTACACGGCTTGGGAATGACGTTAAGCCTGGGAAAAGGCTCTGATTCTCAGGCCTCACAGGATGAGGCAGGACATTACCAGGGTCCCAGGTTCAAAGTCTTCTTTCCAGCTACCCTATCATGTCTTGCAAGTGGGGTGGAGGCTGTGACTCTCTAAGTGTTGGGGGCACCTCACCTGGTCAGGCTATACCCATGCTGCAGTGAGGAGAAGAGCAGGAGGGGTTGACAGAGGGCAAAACGCTCAGGGATCCAGGACCAAATGTCTCTCATCTCCTTCACGCTGACAATCTCCGAGCGGAAGTTCTCTGCATGGACAGCCAAGTGCACAAACTGCCTGGGAAAAGCGAGGAGGGGTCAGAGCCCACAGTGACCAGAGTCCAGCCTGACTCCACCCTTACCCTGTGGCCCCAGAGCTCCATTTTGGTAAGCCTGGAAAGGATATCTCACCTAGTCAGCCAGGTCTGCAGCCTGGTTCTAGGTGCCACTGGGAAATGGGGTGAAATTATTCCTGGAAGCCCCACCTCCCCCCTGATACATGGGAGAGTGCCCAGCCTGGAGATACAGAGGACAAAAACCCTTTTCTTTAAGAAACCAGGATAAATGAAGTAAGCCTCCAGCAAGACAAGGCTGCAGAGCCAGCCAAGCACCAGCAGATTGCACAACTGAGGCAGAAAGATGGATGGACAGACAGACAGACAGACAGCTAGTGCCTGCATCAATCAGGCTAAAGCAGCAAGCAGAAGCCAGCCCACGAGAGCCACTCAGGTCTTGGGAGACAGCAAGCAGCCAAGCCAGAGCTGGCTGGAAGAAAGGCAGGGCAGAGAAGGCAAGCATGGAAGTGTGGTTTCAGACCTACCTTTTAGAAAGTGAGACACTGAGAAACAGGAGGAAGCAACGGACACGGAGAAGAAGAAAAATAAAACAGACAAGGCGAGGTTAGTGGTGGGTACCAATCCCCAGATATGCCTTCCTTTGGGCCCAGGAGAAAGCGAACTCCATGCCAACAGCCATGCCTACAGCAGCCTACTGTGTCCGGTGTCAAACACTATGACTCTTCCCAACCTTGCTTTCCAGAAATAGGGAGACCATAATCAGCATTCAAAACAACATCAGCCATGAAGCTTGGAGCTGAAAGGGCAGAGCCTAGGAGGCTAGGCTGGCAACTGCTGAACCCTCTGACCCCCCGGGTAGCATTTAGCTTTCTTGTCTGGTTAAGGCCATAACTACAAAGCCCTTCCTGCTTTCTAGTGTCTTTGTATCCACATGGCAGGTGAACAGACAGAGGCTAGAAGCAGACCAATGGCTGGCAGGACAAGCTCATGCTCAGATCTCAAGGATATATTCCTCTAAAGCTTCCTGCTCTACAGATGCAATATGTTCACAGCACAGGCACACACACGCATACACAACACACACAGACAAACACACATACACATACATGTGCGTGCACACACACACACACACACACACACACAGAGGCATGAGCACACATGGACATGATCCTGGGTCCACCTACCTCTTCTGCTTGACAGTAATGCCTTTCTGCTTCAGTGCTTTCTCATTGGCCATCTGCAAGAGCTGGATCTCCTTGCGGGAAAATAGGCGTATGGCAAAGGCCTTCTCTAGTAGTTTCTCAGGAGACACTGTCTTGGCAATGTCCTTGACAAACATGCGGATGTCTTGCTTTACATTGTCTGACTCCAGGGGCTGTCCTGCTCTCACCTTGTGGAAGAACTTGAGGATGGCCAGAGCAACTCTGTACAACACCTTATAGCCTTCTACAAGGAAGACATCAAAAACACGGGCAAAGTAGTTGAGGGGCAGTTCCCCAAACAGCCATCTCTGCCAATCAGAGTAGACCTGCAGGACGTCCTCTGACACGGCCACCATCAGTTTGTGGGCTGCCTGGCAATACTTGTTCACCAGGTCCCCAAATGTCATGCAGGAAGACTCGAAGGCCAGGAAGCTCTGGTCGATAAGCTTCTTGCTGGGGTCATTGCAGGCTAGGATGCGGCAGGCCTTTTCGAAACACTCTGCCTCATCAATGCTGTAGTGTAGGAGCAGGGCCACCACAGCAGGCAGGGCAGGGCAGAAGGAGATGTCGGGGAACTGGTTGGCAATGCACAGGAGGATCTTGCGCACAGCGCCCTCTCCCCGTGTGTTCAAGCAGTACGTGGGCACCTGAGTGTTGTCCACAAACTCAGGCAAGGGCAGGCTACGGCTGCTGTGCTTGCCCACAATCTTGCCCACGATGTCGCTGTACACGCTGGCGTCAGGTGTGACCGTGCGGCAGGGGATGTCCCGGATCAGGCGCTGGTACACTTTCCCCCGCAGGGCGTGGCTCTGAGCCCAGTAGCCCTGACGTGCCAGCTGTTTCAGCTCCTGTAGTTCAGTGCAATTCAGCTCCTTTGGCCCCAGGTCCCGGATGGACGCTTCCATCTTGTCCCTGTCCACAAAGCAATTGTACCCTGGGGAGTCCATGGTGCCTGATGTGCCCAGGAGGCAGGTCCTAGGCTGCCAGGAGGGAGTTAAGAACAGCTAAATCCTGCAGCCCCGTCTCTGGGGGTTTTCTGTTAACCAGTCTGTCATCCCACACACCCTGTAGGATTGAAAACAATTTTAGTGCATTCACTGAAAGTTCACATTTTAAAGGACTTGATTTTGTCTTTATTTTTCTAAACAGGACTAGGAAGATAAATAATTGCTCTAAGAAGTCATCACTAACTTCGGAGAACAACTTTTCACATGGTCCATGTGTTACCAGACAGGCCATGGGTTCTAAGCAATGAAAAACTAGGGACAGATTCCCAGTAATGCTTTAAAACCATAACTCCGTGGGCCAGAGAATTGGCTGGGTGGTTAAGAGTGCTTACTACTCTTTCCAGAGGACCACCTGAGTAAAATTCTCAGAAACCACTTGGGGCATTTTAAAACTGCCTGTAACTCCAGTTCCAAATGATCTAACATCCTCTTCTGGCCTCTGCGGGCACAGCACACATGTGCTGCACATAAGCAATGCAGACAAACACTCACACATAAAGTAACAACATAAATCTTCTGCTTCTTCATCATCGTCTTCTTCAGCTTCTTTTCTTTTTTCAGACAGCCTCTCTGTGTGTAGCCCAGGCTGACTTAGAACTCACTCTGTAGACCAGGCTGCCCTTAAACTCACAGAGAGCTGCCTGCCTCTACCTCCTGAGTATTGACATTAAAGGCATGTGCCACCATGCCCAATGATAAATCTTTTTAAAAGCTTGTTTTATCTATCTATCTATCTATCTATCTATCTATCTATCTATCTATCTATCTATCTATCTATTATGTATTCAATGTTGTCTGCAAGTACACTGCACAACAGAAGAGGGAGCCAGATTTCATTATAGATGGTTGTGAAACATCATGTCGCTGCTGGGAATTGAACTCATGACCTCTGGAAGAGAAGCCAGTGCTTTTAACGTCTGAGCCATCTCTCTAGCTCCCATGATAAATCTTAAAAAAAACAAAACAAAACAAAAAAAACATCTGCAATTAAGGCAGAGGCAGCACATAGCTGTGAGTTCAAGAACAGTTTACAAAGCGATTCCAGGACAGCCAAGGCTACACAGAGAAACCCTGTCTTGAAAAACAAAAAGCAAACAAACAACAAACAAAAACCAAAAACATTTAAAATTAATTTTACTTACTTGTATGGGTGTTTTGCCTAAATATGTATCTGTGTGCCATTGTGTGCCTGGTGCCCTCAGAAGCTGAAAGAGGATGTCAGATCTCCTGGGACTGGAGTTACAAACAGTTGTGAGATACCATGGTGCTGAGAACTGAACCCAAGTCCTCTGGAAAAGCAGCCAGTGCTCTTAAGCACTGAGCCATCTTTCTGGCTTAAATATATATATATATATATATCCTGTAAAAGGTTAAAAAAAAAAAGTCTGATCTTGCTACAAACAGCTTTCTACTTGAGGAGATCCGTGTAGGCCACCGTAGTTTAGAGGCTACCTAAATAGAAACAAAGGTCAAGAGGAGCCTGCTGGACAATACTTCCTCTCAGCCTGAGGTGTCCGTCAAGCTCTGACCAGCTGTGCTGAGGACGCTCATGCTTAGCTTCACCATAGGTGGGATACTAGGCCAGGACTGATCACTGCACTACATTCCGGTCCCATGGAAGACGTTCTACAGGCAGCTCTTGTCTTCCTCTAACTGCCATCTTAAAAGCTAAGCTCCAGACAGTTCATTCCAGAGGAAGCCGCTAATAGGGTAAGAAATAGGGCCTGGGGTGTGATTCTGTATTACAAGTGTTGAGGAACACGTGGAAGATGCCACAATTTCAGAACCAGACATTTCTGGCTCCAAGTAAAGTACGGCTGGAAGGCTTGGGGGAAATGATACCATCTCACTGCATGGCAGCGCTGTGACTCAGGCACACGTAAACCAAGTGGGTGTGCACAACAGGCCAGAGCACGCATGCCTGAAATACCAGAGCTGAGGAGGAGGGCAAACAGGAGGATCATGAGTTCAGTACCTGCCTGGGTTACACAGGAAGTTCAAGCCTGAGTTGTATAGTGAGACCCTACCTCAAAAACAGATAGACTGACAGTCTGCAGAGATGACTCAGCAGTTAAAGAGCGTGCATCGCTTTTGCAGAGAATCTTGAGTTCAGCTCCCAGCCCACATGTCAGGAGACTCATAGCAGCCTGTACCCCCAGATGCAGGGGTCTGATGCTCTCTTCTGGACACCTCAGGCATCTGCACTCACGGACACTACCCAAGAACAGATACACATAGACGCACAATTTAAAAATAACAAAAAAATATGGGGCTGGGGAGAAAGTTCAGGTGTTGAGAGCACTTGCTGCTTCTGAAGAGGTTTCCAGGACCCACATGGTGGCTCACAACCATCCATAACCCCAGTTTCAGGGGATCTGATGCCCTCTTCTAACCTCTGTTGGCACTAGGCACGTACATGAAACACATATATACATGCAGGTCAAACAATCTTGCACATAAAATAAAACACATTAAATAATAAATAAAAATAGCCAGGTATGATAGTACACACCCTTAATCTCTGAGGCTGGCAGATCTCTGAGTTTGAGGCCAATCTGGTCTACAAAGCAAGTTCCAGGACAGCCAGTTCTGTTACACACAGGAACTCTGCTTAAAAAAAAAAAAAAAAAAAAAAAAAAATCAAAATAAATAAATAAATAAATAACAACAACAAAAAAAACTCCAAACAGACAAACAAATTTTATAGGGAATGGTGTTGCATGCCTTTAGTCATGGTGCTTGGCAGACAGAGATTCTTTGTGAGTTCAAGGCCAGCCTGGTTTACTACAGTGAATTCTTAGCCAGACAGGGCTATACAGTGAGCCTCTTCTAAACAAACAAACAAAGATCAATTTTAGCCTTAGACAAAGGACAGGCAACCAAGGAAAGCTAAGAGTGAGACGGACAGTTTTCCCTATTTGAGAGTCCCTGAGTTGGATATTTAATGCCAAGTGGTCAGTCCTGAAATCATGAACATACAAGTAACATTATATTAACTGAACAGGTTACAACTATATATTTAGGAATGTGTGGACGTGCACACGTGTGTAACAACAATTAACTAAAAAAACGCATGAAGTTGTGAGGAGTGGAGGGTGTGACATGAGAAGGCTTGGAGGAAAAGGAAGGGGTAAATGATGTCATTACATTATAACTTCAAAAATTAAGTTATTATAAAAATAAATCTTAAAAAAGGCATGCATGTGGTGCAAATATATATGTGCAGGCAAAACACTCATACACATAACATTAAAAAAAAAAAAAGCAGCCAGGCAGTGGTGGTGCATGCCTATAATCCCAGCACTCAGGCAAGGGCGGGGGCAGGGGCAGGGGCAGAAAGAGGCAGAGGCAGAATCTGTTCTACAGAGTGAGTTCCAGGACAGCCAAGGCTACACAGAAAAACCCTGTCTCAAAAACAAACAAACAAACAAAAACAAAAGCAAGGGCTGGAATGGAACTCAGTTGTAGAACACCTGTCTAGTATGTTTGAGGCCTTAGGCTTGGCCTCCAGCAAGAAAACAAAAGAGAGAGGAAGGGAGAGGAAGAGAGAAAAGGGAGAGAGGAGAGAAGATGAGAAGAGGGCAGTGGAGGGGAAAGGTGAGGGTGAGATACACTAAGGGACCATGCACAATGACCTATAACAGCCTGCTGATTTGGGTTGTAAAGCATCCACCAAAGGCTGCTGCCCTGGGCACACAAGGCCAATATTTGCTCACAAACACTGGTCTGACCTTTCTGATCTGGATGGTAGAACTGTCCAACAACGTCACAGGGGGCGCTTCAGTGAGTTTTGGTAAATATCCACACAGCTCTGATTTCTCTTGCATCTAGAAAATTCAACTAGAAAACAAACAAAAATAAAATGCTACTGAGTTAAAAGAATTTTATTTTATTTATTTTTTTAAGGCAGAGTTTCTCGGGCTGGAGAGATGCCTCAGTGGTTAAGGACACTCTCTGCTCTTCCAAAGGACCCAGATTCAGTTCCCGACACCCACATGGCACCTCACAACTGTCTGTAACTCCAGTTCCAAGGGATCTGACACCCTCACACCAATACATATATAATTAAATAAATAAATTAAAAACAGGGTTTCTCTGTGTAGCCCTGGCTGTCCCGAAACTTACTTTGTAGACCAGGTGGCCTTGAACTCAAAGATCTGCCTGCTGCTACCTCTTGAGTGCTAGGACTAAAAGTGTGCACCACCATGATCAGCAGAAGAATTATAACGTAAATCCTAACATGTGGGGCCATGTAAGAAAACACCATGCTTTTATGCTTCTCTGTGTGGTAAAATATACGCAAAACAAGGTTTTAGCCATTTTTAAAAATCCCTGTGTGTGAGTTTATGTCACACAGTACACCTGTGTGACCAGGAGACAACCTTGAGTGTTGGTCCTTGCTTTCCACTCCCTAAGAGACAGGGCCTCTGTGAGCGTACGGAATTCTCCTGTCTTCCACCTTCCCCTCCCCCCCCCAAACTGCTGCAATTAGGGGTGGAATTAAAGATGCATGCTTCTAGCCAGGTGCGGTGCTACACACCCGTAATCCCAGCACTTGGGGAGGCAGAGTTCGAGGCTACCCTGGTCTACAAAGTAAGTCCAGGACAGCCAAGGCTACACAGAGAAACCCTGTCTTGAAAAACAAAAGCATGCTTCTGAGCCCAGCTTCACACGGGCTCTGGTGAACCATCTCCTCAATTTAGCCACTTTTACGACACTTCAGGGCTGGAGAGATGTCTCAGTGGTTAAGAGCACTGGCTGCTCTTCCAGAGGAGCAGGATTCAGTGCCTAGCACCCACATGGTAGTTCACAACCATCTGTAACTCCAGTCCCAGGGGATCTGACCCCTCACTTCTGGCCTCCATAGGCAACAGGCACATACGTGGTACACAGATATATATGCAGACAAAAAATGCAAATACAGTGTCAGTACCATTGCCGCTGTCTTCAGAACTGTTCCATCTCCCAGAGTGGAACTCTTCTCCCGTCTTCCCCTAGCCCTACAGGTGACCTCCCTGCCCTTTTTTCTTTAATTGAAACCTTACTATGTAGCACTATGAAGCTGTGATCATCCTGCAATAGCCTCCTGGGTTGTGAAATTACAGCTGTGCACCGTTACACCCTGGGTCCAGAATTTCCTTCCACTTCAGAAGGGCCAGGTATAGTGGCACATGCCTTTAATCCCAGCATTTGGGAGGCAGAGGCAGACAGATCTCTGTGAGTTTAAGGCCAGCCTAATGTACATAGAGAGTTCCAGGACAGCCAGAGCTACACAGTGAGACACTGTCTCAAAAACAATAACAACAAAAAGACTTGATTTTTTGTGTATGAGTGTTTGCCTGCATGTATGAAGGAGGATCACAAGTCTGTAGTGCCACTGGAGGTCAGAAAAGACATTGGATCCCCTGGAACAGGAGTTACAGCCAGCCCTCAGCAAACAGGTGGGCGCTGGGACAGAAACCACACCCTCTGCATAAGCAGCAAGCACTCTTAGTTGCTAAGCTGTCTCTTCAGCCCCACTGGTAATTTTTTTTTCAAAGATTTTTATTTATTTGATGTAGATGAGTGCTCTATCTCCATGTACACTTGTGTGCCGGAAAGGGGCATCAGATCCCAGTAGAGATGGTTGTGAGCCACCATGTGGTTGCTGGGAATTGAACTCAGGACCTCTGGAAGAGCTCTTAACTGCTGAGCTATCTCTTCAACTCCCCCTCCCCCATTGATAAGTTCTCATGGGGGCTTCCTCATATTAAACATTAATTAAAACAAAGTTTTCTGGGGCTGAAATTGTAGTGGTATAGTACTTAACCATGACTAAGGCCTTGAGTTTAATATCTGGCACTACAAACAAAACTCAAAATTGATGCAAGCATTCTAATCATATTAAATTAACTACTGTCCCAGTGGGAAAGCTTTGCTTATAGCAGGACCAGTCCTGATGCCTGATCGGTACCCGTGCTTCCTTAGGGCAGGTATGGGGGTCCCTCTTGCATTTCTCTAAAAGCAGGAAGCCTACTTGCCTGCCTCCCCTCAGCCATGCCCGGGCCACACTGTACAATTTCCCACATCTGAGTCATCTTTAGAGCTTGACTCCGGGGTGAAAAACCTTAAAGAGCCACCGCAGGTCCATTCTGTCTGGGTGACAAGGACCTATTCCCCCTGAGCAAAATAAAAACATTTATAAATAGAACAGGAACTTAGCAGAACACGCCAACCTGCTCCAGGTTGAACATTAAACTGAAACTGCAAAAGTGATGGAGGTACTGTTCAAAAAACTCCTTCAGGAAGAAACAGACACAAATTGCCACCTCCTACAGCAGGAGGTCCAGGGGGTGTGCTGGAACCAGAGGGACACTGTGGCAATGGGACCCAATGATCTCCCCTCACATCCGACTCAAAAGGAACCGTGATGTTGCTGGGGCTAGACACAAAAGGCTTCCTTCCTCCAGGCGTCTATAAAATGGGCTCAGCTGCCTTGTAATTCCAGAGGATCTGACACCCTCTTCTGACCTCTTAGGGCAAAAGGTATGCTTATATATATGCAGGCAAAACATTCATACACATAAAATAAAATAAAATAAAATTTAAAGGTCTTTAAATGCTGGGTTAGGACACTTTAAATCATTTGATAAAAGAATGCATCATTGGGCTGGAGAGATGGCTCAGAGGTTGGGAGCACTGGCTGCTCTTTTAGAGGACCGAGGGTTTGATTCCCAGCACCCATGTGGAGGCTCATAGCCATCTGTGACTCCAGTTCCAGGGGATATGAAGCCATGAGCACATAGGGTTGCAGATATACATGCAGGGAAAACACTCATACACATAAAATAAAAACTAAATCAATTAAAAAAAATGTAACTTGGGCCGTGGTAGTGCACACTTCTAATCCCAGCACTTGGGAGGCAGAGGCAGGTGGATCTCTGAGTTCAAGGCTAGCCTGGTCTACAGAGTGAGTTCAGGACAGCCAGGACTAAACAGAGAAACCCTTTTTCTGGGGAGGAAAAAAATGTATAATCATAAAGTATCAGATAAGACCAAACTACAGAACAAAACCTGAGAGTACTGTTCATATCATCACTCTAGTCCAAGCTCCCTTCAGCTGAAAGATATCTACCACTGTTGCTTTGGTAAATAGCCTTCATAACTGTTTCTTATATTTTCACACACATAGCCAGGCCTGGTGGCACATACCTGTGATCCCAGCACTCTGGGAGGCAGAGGCAGTTGGATTGACTTGAGTTTGAGGCCAGCCTGGTCTACAAAGCGAGTCCAGGACAACCAAGGCTACACAGATAAACCCTGACTCAAAAATAAAAACAAAAACAAAACAAAAAATTTACACACATATTACAACTGAGTGACATCTTTTATACATTGGTCATTGAAACG